TGGAAAACCCGGAAAGTGTGCGTAGAACAAGCGACGGGTGTCAGATCTGGCGGGTTTGGGTGGATCTACCGGGCCCTGGCAGCTGCCTTAAGGTGTCAGGCATGGCCCAGTTCAATAGTTGGCATCTCCAATTAAAGGGACAGGAGGAGGAGGGTTGGGAGAGACCTGCCTGGAGCACATGATGCTGGGCATCAAGCAACGGTCTAATTCACTGTACAGAAGCATGGCACAAATTCTCCAATATCTTCTTCTACTCCTGCCTGTTCATCCAAACAGAGCTTCTATGTTGAAAGGCAAGAAGAAATTCAACTGGTCCAGCCTTAGTCAAAATGGGAATACATGGTTGGCCCTGCAGAATTTCTGCCTGTCAGGGAGGAACCAAAGACTCAGAAACTGCATCAGCAAAAAAGGAAGCAACCATCCTGCAATAATGGAACTGCAACCATGCTCATTGCCTAATTACATCCCACCTTTGCGTAATTAATTATCACTGTGATCATTAGGGAATTACAGAGCACCTAATCACAAAATTAGGCAGCAGGAATTTGTGTACACACTTAAAAACAAATCTTTGTGTAATTGCAGTCACAGCAGTAGAAAGAAAATAACTTAAGCAAACTAACCAGAGGAAATTCAGCACGAATGGAATGATGCTTGCAGAATATTAAGTCTACCACTCAGGACGAAGCTCTCGTGAGCTCCCTGCAGCTGGGGAAGGGCTGGGAGCAAGTCCTACGGAGGAAAGCGAGAGCAGACGCAGCGCAGCCTGGAGGGGAAACCTGGGTGGGGGGGCTAAGACCCTGGAAGGCAGAAACAAGACTCAAGGTGATCTTGAGGGGCTGGAGCACTGGGCTGAGAACAGCAGAAGAAATGCCATGGGGGCAAATGACAAGCTCCACACCTAGGAAGAGCGAACCAAACGCATTGCTAGAAGACGGGCGATCCTTGGCTCCACAGTAAGAGAGAAGGGTCTTGCAATCGTTGTAGCTCACCAGCTGAAGGTGAGTCCACGAGGTGATGTGGCTGCAAAAAGGGGAAAAGTTACTTGAGGAGTCATTAATAGAAGCATCCCTTCCAAACCACATGAAGCCCTAGCTGCCCTCTGCTCAGCACTGGTTAGGACCCATCTGGATCCTGTGCCCAGTTCTGGGCACTCCTGTTAAAGAAAGGTGCAGGCAAGCCGGGAGGGTCCAGCGGAGGGCAACACAAATGATCCGGGGTTTGGAAACACTGCCCTGCAAGGAGAGGCTGGGGGAACTGGGCATGTTTCATCTGGAGAAGAGAAGACTAAGGAGAAACAGCACTCAACAAGTACTTGAAAGCTTGCCACAAAGAGGAAGGCCAAGATCTCTTCCCGATCATCCCAGAGTGCAGAACGCAGAACAAACAGACCAAAGTGGCTAAGGCTGAAGAAGCCTGGGCACACAAGCACATCTTTTCCGGAAGGCCAGGACAGAGGCAGAAGGCACAGCTCACTGGTGAGCAGTTCCCAAAGCTGCAGGACCTGGACAACCAAGGCTGGCCTTCTTCAGGATGCAACTAGCTTTCAACGCCAGCCTCCACCTGAACGATCTTACAGCAGTTTAATCAAATTACTTCTAACCCCCTTCCTGGCTCAAACATGGATTATTTTACCTTCCACCTCACCTGTCTACAAAACATACCCATTATTCACTGGCTGACCTAACTTTCCACGCTCCAAACTTGTTTTCTGGTCCTGAGCTTTGTAGACCAGACTCGACTTGTCCTTTCAGGAAGAAAATCTTGCTGTCTCTGTGAGCGGCCAATGATCAGCTGGAGCTCCTGAATATTCATGAAATGAATTCAGTGGAGTTTTTAGAAATGCAAGCAGCTTCGCTTGTTCTAGCTTAATAAAAATATGTGAAGTTGCCTTTGCAAGAAATAAGAAGATGCTGTTACTGCAAAAGGACAGTCTTAGCCAGCCAGTTTGCCCCCTCCATGAGTGTGGCTGTTACATGCTCTTAATGTGCCTCTGACTTACGCTGGCCCTGTGAATGAGCCCCCCACCCAAATGCCCCATTCATGATGGCCCTGCTCCACTCTTGCACTCGAGGCTCGGGCCTCCTTTCCAGAAGCGACCTCTCCGATATTTAGTCTGCCTCTTCTCCTGCATTCGTCGTTCCCTAGCATGACTGTCTTCTCCGCAGAGTCCTGCCACCTCTTGATGTGCCCGAAACACACAGATTCGTTTTTGCCACTTCTGCTTCCACCAAAAGTTCCGGCTTGATTTGATCTAGAACCCACCTGCTTGTCTTTCTGTCAGTCCAGTGTATTTGTAAAGCTCTCCTGCAGCACCAGACTTGAGCACATCAGTTTCAGATCCTGCCGGCTTCGTTCACTGTCCAGCTTCCACACACGTGCACAGTGATCGGGAACACGATGGCACGGATGACTTGGCTTCGGCCCCCAGTGAAATGTCCTCACACGTGAGGATCTTCTCTAGTTCCGCCGCTGGTGCCCTTCCAAGTCTTCTTATAGTTTCTTGGCTTCCGTCTCCTTTTGAATTGACCCTGGAGCCTCGGGACGCAAAATCTTTCACAATTTCTGTTTCTTCACTGTTGACCTTTAAGTTGTATCATTCTTTTCTGGTCATGGTTTTTGCTCTCTTGATACTTAGCTGCAGCCCAGTTTATGCACTATTTTCTTTCACTTTCTCAGGAGCCATCGCAATTCATTCCTGCTTTTGCCAGCAAAGCAGTATCACCCGTTTCTCCCTATTCTTTCCTAACGTAAGGTCGCTTCTTGTCCACAACACAAATTTTGCAAGGGCCGGGGCACCCCCATTTCTTTCAGAACCACCCAGAGCGTCTCAGGATCCACACAAAGGCTTTGCTGTAGCCAACAAGGCAAGATCGATCTCTCACAGGAATCCTTTGCTGTAGCCCCAGCAGTCAAGAGCTCGCCTCTTCCTTTTCAGAATCCGATGGAATGTTTAGCATTTCTCAGTCCACAGAGGGTAAAAAAAATTGCTGCAATACCTCGCAATACCTTCCCATGCTCTTTGCTTGCGTGGAAAAATGATCCAGCAGTTCCTGTGCTGCTTTCTGGAGGGTTGGAATGTATACTGAAGATGTCGGTCCAGGGCCATCATTGAGTTTTCCATATTTGTGGCATATTCCTGCCAGGATTTGAACTGATTCAGTCTCTGCAGCTTGGAGCAGATTTTGATCTCTCTTTCTTCAACAACTGTGGTTGGAACATGGATATGACCAATGGCTCTCTTGATGCGTTTTCCAAGCACTTTGATGGACACGAATTGTTCGGGCTTTGCGTTAGAGCCCCTGACTGTACTGCATCTTGCTTCTTTGCTCAAGCTACACTGTTTCTTCTGCCATTCCCAGAGTAAAACACTTGGTTTTCCTCTGACTGGAAATGCCCCATTCCAGTCCATGTTTGTTTGTTCACAGCAGGTTCCGCAATGCTTAACCATCCTGCTTTTTGCTTCAGTTTCCAGTTCCTTAATTCATACGTCTCACGTTTCGTGTTCCAACTGCATGCGCTCTGTGCCATCGGACCTTCCTTTCCCCTCTGTGCACATCGGTCATTTTAGCTTCAATCTATCATTTATTATATTTATCTACCTCCAGCCTGCTCCCAAAGATCAGGACTCTAGACAGCTCACAACAGTAAACTCACACAATTAAAACACGCGGAAGCGTACAATGCACTCGAGCCGCCTGCGAGCACCGACACGCTGGTCTTTTGCTCTTCCCCAGCAGCTGGAGTGCCTTCTGGTCTGGGCTGAGGACCTTCCCCTTCTGGCACACTCACCGGGGATGGTTCCACCGCAGGGTTCCCACGTAAGCGGCCTGGTGTCGTGCCTGACGGCGCGACAGAGGGGTCTACTCATGAGGAAGAGGCAGGAGCCAACAGTGAGAGTCAGGCATTGGAACAAGGGGACTTATACTTGGGGCCCAGTGCCCAGATGGCCCCTCTGCAGCCTGACTCTGAGACTTCTGAGCAAGTAGCCTCCCCACAGCCTGACCCCTTAGCCCCTGAGCGAATAGGCTCCCCACAGACTGTGAGGCGTCCGGAAGAGCAGCTTCCCCTCATCCTGGCTCTGAGGTGCCTGAACAAGTTGCCCCCCCCCCCCGGCTCCTGACTCTGAGGCTGCTGGACAGAGTTCAGGAGAACAAGAAGACATAACAGTGAATTTGGCAAACGCCCAACTTAGGAGGCGTTTAAGGCGTTCAGACCAATTGCGTATGGACCAATTACGATGACAAGACAGAGGTCCGTCCCACCCACGAACGGGAAGAAGAGACAGGAAGATCTACTACCACATGGTCTTCTGAGGCAGCTCAGAAAGGAGGGGGCAACTGAACCATCAGGAGCTTGTTGCCAGAGCTTATCTGTTACATTGTAAATCTCGTAGTGAATAGCAATAAAAGTCTTTAGGTTTACTGCCGGCTGCTGTGTGAGTTAATTGGAGACGCGAGTTACGATCTCATGGCGCCTGGGCAAGCCGCTCAGCGCCACCTTCAACAATCCTCACTGCCCAGCGGCGGCTCTCCAGGCGCTTCTCTGCCCCCATCGCAATCGGAGACACCCGTTCTCTCCTGCGGGCAGAGCCCATTTTCCCGCAAAGCAGTCTGGCGACCGCCGACCATCCTGCCGCAGGTGCCCAGCCCGGGAGAGCAGCCTGGCGAGAAAGTCCGGACCGGCTCTGGCAGCACCGCTCTGGACGCCTCCGACACTCTCAACCCCTCCCCACTTTGCGTGAACCTGGGCAACCCATTAGCGTGTTGTGTGTGGTAAATGGTTGCATTGTTTTTTGGTGTGTTTTGTATGCCGTCCAGAGACTTTTAGTGTTGGGACAGCAAATAAACACTTTAAATAAATGAGTAAGTTAGCAAGGGACGCCCCTTAGAAAGAGAGACGCAGCTCCACCCGGCACACCCGCTGCACCCAAGTGCCGCCGCGGAGAAAGCAGAGGCGCCAGGGAGAGCGCAGGGGACAGAAAAGCTCGTTCTACTCACTTCCGGGGCTTTTCCTCAGCGGAGTCCGCCACGTGGTATCCGGGCTTGCACCTGTAGCGGCAGACGGAGCCCACGTCGTGGTTCCCTTGCAGGCACCGCTGCTCCAGCAGCTTCGCGTTGGCGACCAGGCGCGGCGTGTCGCACTCCAGCTTGCAGTAGGCTTCCGGGAGCGACCAGAGTCCGTCCTCCAGGCAGGTGAGCCTCTGGCTCGTTCCTGACTCCGGGCAAAGGCGCGAGGGGGAGAAACAGGGCCCACTCAGAGGTGGGGCAGGCAGGGCTCCTCTTTGGCGGACTGACTGGCTACTTAATGCCGCCCCATTAGCCGTGAGCTCTCCGGGCGGCTCACAGCACGTTGCTCCAACAGTGAAAACAACACCTGCTGGCCGGCGAGTTGGCCGCCTGCTCCATTCACCCTGGCCCGACATTTCCCCAGCTCTCCCCTCCCTTCCCCAGGCCGTCTGGGAAGCAGTCTTCCCCTGGCAAGCGCCACACTCCTCTCCTGGCAGGGACAAAGGGGATGAGAAGTCTGGCTGCTCCCTCCCGCCCAACCTGGGGCCCAGATGGGGCCTGCCCAAACTGCGGGGAGTGGGGCATGCTGCATGGCCGGGTGTGGGGGAAGGCCATGCCCTGAGTAACTCGGCCCAGAGGGTTTCAGCCCCCCGGTTCAAGGGGGCAGGAGTCAGGGATGGCTGCCACCCTTCCACAGGAGGAGGGCGGAGTTGAGGAAACTGCTGGGCTGCGCGGAAGCCTCACACTGTCCTGTCACAGGACGAATTAGCTGTTTCCTGTGCATCGCCCTTTGCAGGTGGGCAGGGGGGCGATACTGATGGGGCGGGGGTTCTTGGAAGCCCTGGGAGACTGGCAACGGAACCCCATTCTTCTTTCCTCCCTCAGGTTTTGCCATCATTTCAGGGATGCTGGAGGAAACTGGGAGCCGCTTCTCCTCCTTCTCTCCTTTGCTCCCCAAGGAATATCCTGGAGCAATGCTACATCCAAGCAATTTTGGGGGAAAAAGATGCAGCTCAGCTGCTTCCACCATTATTTCAGATTTGTTTTAAACCATGCTCATCCACTGTAAAAATCATCTTAATAAGCTGCCCTCACCCAAAGTAACCCTCACCCATCCTCTAGTCTGGGTCCCCTTTCGGGGTCAGACGTTCTGATAACTTTCCACCCAGCCCTAATTAAATTATTCTGTCACAGGCACAGAAAAAACTTTTTGATCTACATGCTCGGGTACACCATCGACCATGGTATCCTCCTGGATAGGCTGGCGGGACTGGGAGTAGGAGGCACTGCTTGGCAGTGGTTCTGTTCCTACCTCAACGGCCGATTCCAGAAGGTGGTGCTGGGGGACTTTGGCTCTGTGCCATGGCAGCTATGCCACGGAGTACCGCAGGGGTCCATTTTGTCCCCCTTGCTATTTAATATCTACATGAAACCGCTGGGAGAGGTCATCAGGAGGTTTGGGCTGTGGAGTCATCAGTACGCTGATGATACCCAGCTCTACCTCTCGTTTTCCACCAATCCAGGTGAGGCAGTGGCTGTGCTGAACCGGTGCCTGGCCGAGGTAATAGGCTGGATGAGGGCCAATAAACTGAAGCTCAATCCAGACAAGATGGAGGTCCTGTTGGTGGGTGGATCGAGCTCCTGGGTACATGACTTGGACCTTGTCCTGAATGGGGTTGCACTCCCTCTTAGGGACAGGGTCCGCAGCTTGGGAGTGCTGCTCGACCCAGAGCTGTCCCTGGAAGCTCAAGTGACTGCGGTGGCGAGGAGCGCTTTCCTTCAGCTTCGGCTGATCCATCAGCTGCGTCCCTACCTGGAGGACAATTGCCTAGCGACAGTGACACATGCATTGGTTACTTCCTGGTTGGATTTCTGTAATGCGCTCTACATGGGGCTGCCCTTGAAGACAGTCCAGATACTTCAGATGGTGCAAAACAGAGCAGCCAGGTTGCTGACAGGGACTGGGCATTATTCTCATATAACCCCAGTCCTCTACCAGCTTCATTGGCTTCCCATTGAAGTCTGGGCTCAATTCAAGGTGCTGGTTATTACCTATAAAGCCCTTAACGGCTTGGGACCTGGATACCTGAAGGAACGCCTTCTTCCATATTTGCCCTCCTGCCCCCTGAGATCGGCAGCAGAGGCCCTCCTCCAGGAGCCCTCTGTGAGAGACATCAGGAGGCAAAGCACCCGGAGGAGGGCTTTCTCTGCGGTGGCGCCCTGCCTGTGGAATGCGCTCCCCAGAGAGGTCCACCTGGAGCCATCGTTATTTGTTTTTCGGTGCCAGATTAAGACCTTTTTATTCCAGCAATATTTTAATAACTTTTAATATTGGTTTATATATGTTTTTAACTGTAGCCAGTGTGGATCTCTAATTCGTTTGTGTTGTTTTATATTATTTTATCTATGTAAGCCATCCTGAGGCCTTCGCGACAGGACGGCATATAAATATTCTACATAAATAAATAAATAAATAAATCAGAGGAAAAGAAAGCTGTACTTTCAGTTGTATATCTAGTGCTCTTATCTAACAAAAATTCAGCTTGTGTACAGCAGCCCCATAAAAATTATTCCAAATATCTGCATGTTATCTCCTTACAGGCTGGACTCAACAAACAGTGGAGGAAACCCTTTACCACACGCCCCATGGAGACAGAAATTCTTGGATGAAACAGAACTTCTCTCAAATGACCATCTAGAACTATAAAGCCACTGGCAGGAAATTCAGTAAAATTTGATGCACAGTACTTGTAATCACGAACATGATCTAATACCAGGCTGCTGATTCTAATTCTAAGATGCACGGCTCTGCTCAAGGCATCTCTTATCTTGCTCTGAAATATTTTCCTAGCCAGAATCAGTTGCCAGAGCAGCAGACCTGTGAAAAGCCATACAACTGAGCAGCTTGGATGTACCTTCCAACAGGAAACTCGGTCGCACGGACCGTGCCAAAGACCCCCCAGGGTGCCCACACTTCCCGTCCAACGAGGGCTGCGTACCTTGAAGCTTTGCTGGCTCGATGCAGGAGAAGAGGCACTGCTTGAGGAATGTGGTCCCTCCGGGGCAGGAGAACTCTGCGTAAAGCACATGCGACTGGTCTGGAAACCGGCAGTCGACGGGGTCACAAGTCACAGACCTGTCCCACTGCCCAGAACTGCAGGTCAACCGGATTTCTTTCTGGGAAAGGAAAAACACGCACAGCCCTGATTTCTATGGATCGCCTGAATCCTGGCATAGCAATGCAGTAGCAGCCCTTAGCTCAGGTTCATCTTTAGCAGGAGCTGTATTCTGAACCGACAACCTGCGGCACTGGCTCCGTCCACTGACGGGGCTTCCTGCGTACAAGGCAGCTGCGCAACAGGCTTCTGCTCACCTCCCTGCAGGTGCATGGAGAAAGGAGTCCCTGCAGGGAAGGCGGGAGTGAGGTGGGAGAGCATGTCTCTCCCTAGCCCAGCATAAAGGAGGCCAAATTGCGCACACATAGGTAAGAGATGCAGGAGAAATGAGCACTAATTACAGAGGGAGATGCTAATTAGATTCACATTGAATTAGGAAATCTGAATTGAGCTCATTTCACACTTCCGAACCAACATGCAAGCCAAAGCTCGAGTCATCCTTCGAAATGCCCATTTTTCCGCTTCTGCACTGTAAATTTCTTCTCAAAAAACGCAAACACAAATGCATAGAATGGGGGAAGCATGCGAAAAAATGTGCACACATTAGTGTGAGTAATGTGGCAAAATGCATTACATTAGGGGAAGCGGCTTGTAAAAACGCCCGTGAAAATGTGTAGAAGTATTTGGGCGAGGATTTTTTTTAGAGAATCTCAGCTTGATATGAAACAAGACAAAACAGACGCAAGTGCAGAAAACAACCCAAAGAGAGAAACTCATCTCCGCAAGTTCATCCGTCCCATGCACAGTCCAAAAGCCCCTCTCAGGGCCAGCAGGACGCCTCCTCTTGGAGCCTCACAGTAAACAAGAAGGCACGTTGTCTCCGTTCCGCTGAGGTGGGAAGAAATGAAGAAACAGACCTCTCCTGCCTGCAGCACCGCATCCTGTGTGGATCCCCTTGTTCCACATGCCAGCGATTAAGGAAGGGAAAACTGGATGCGTAGATGCACACCAAGCGAGCGTTTTCAAGCATATTCGCCCAACCAGAAGAGGTGCGGCAGTGTCCGCTCTTAAAAGCAAGCATGCCCACCTAAAGCTAGGCTTCCTGGCCTCTCAATACTGAGCCCAGGAGCTGTGCTTGGGTCCTACCACATGATGCAATTCAGTGCATGGCTAGTGCTTCCGAAATGTGCTGCGCTTCCTAAAGCTTGGACATTGATCGCTGGCGCAGGACCACGTGCCTTCGGGTGCAAATCCACCAGCGGTTTAACGGTGGGGTCCTCCTTGCCTTCCCCGGCACAGCGGCTGGGCGAGGGAGAAAAGCAGGTCTTGCAGCTTGGGTGCTTCGCCAGGGTATTTCCTGCTCTTTTGCCAACGCAGAAATGTTAAATGAGGTAGATTTGCTTTTGCCTGTCTGTTTTGCTGCGGCGGTGAGGATGCAAAAGGGAGACGACTCCGCTCTCAAGCACGGTGCCTGTCATGGGGACCTGCTGCCTCACCCGAGCTGCATCTGCCCAAAAGGATGACTCAGGAGGAAGCAGGGTGAACCGGGCTGCCGGAGGAGGGGTGGAACAAGGGGCATGGACCCGTCCGCTGGGAACCAGCTGTCCTGCATGCTTTCCTGCAGTTGCCCCTTCCCAGACCCTGGCAGCCTTGCCTACCTTCTAGCCCAGCCTTCCTGTAAGTGTTTTCCAGCCATGGCTTCTTTTTTCCCAACACTCACATTGCCTTCACAGAAAGAGGAGGTGATCCAAATGTCAATAAAGGGCTGAGCAGCAGTGGTTAAAGTGCCGAGCCAGTGTGCCGTGCCCCCGAGTCCTGGACTATCATTTAGGGTGGGTGCCAGGAAGCGCTTCCTGACAGTCGGGACCCTGAGGGTGTGGAATGGGCTCCCACGGGAGGTGGCTGAGGCTCCATCAGTGAGGGGGTCCAAGGACAGGCTGGACGTGCACATGGTGGGCATGTCGTGAGCGGAGCCGGCTGGAGTGGGGGTCAGGCTAGGTGGCCCGGGAGGCCCCTTCTGACTCGCTCTGCTTCTCTGTTTCTGCCGGGTTCCAATCCCCACTCAGCCCAGACGCTGGGTGACTCCAGGCCAGTTGCAGACGCTCAGCCTGACCTGCCTCACCGGGTGGCTGCCGAGAGGACAGAAGGGAGAAGAGACCCTCGTCAGCCCGCCAAGAGTCCCCAGCTGCAATGAGGAGCAGCAGCTCCAGGGCTGAGCTCGACCCGCGCTTGCAAGGATCAAGGCACCCCTGCGACGCATCCGGATCAGCGTGTCCTGAGCTGGGCCTTGTTTCCTCCCACGCTGTGCAGCAGGTGAGTGCAGCTCCTCCCCACGCTCCAGCTCTCTACCTGTGCCAGGGCTGCCTAGTCCACGGCTGAGAAACTCTCGTGCTCATGGCCACCTCCCACCTACTGGATATCTTGCATATTCCCAGGAACTTGAGATCAGCGCACCCACCTCTTTCATCTCAGTGTCATGGCAAGGCCCATCCTCCCCAGCTCCCTTTTGATTTGCTTCACATCCTGATTCTGACGAATCTTGGCCAGCAGTCCTTGAGGACTGCTGCTCACTCCCCACAGGATCACCTGATGAGTGTGGATGCCTGCAGTTCTTGCAATGAAGAGCAATCCCATGGATTAGTCAGTTAATAGATAGCGGGGTCCTGAACCCTCTGTCTGTCAGAGGTCCTGCCAGCAAGAGCTCGGCGTGCCAGAAGGAACAACAGAGGTGCTCCAGCCTCCTATTCATCTCAGCGTGTTTAGCTTCCCAGCCCCTCTGGGGGCGGAGAAGAAGGGGCTTGCGGATCTCATGAATCCACTTCCTGTCCCTTCTGCTCGGCGTGCCTCCTTCCCATCATCCCTGTCCTCTCCCAGGGTTGCCGTTGCCAGCGCAGAAGAGCAGATCCCTGGAGGGATCACTGCCACAGCAGCGTTGGCCACGGAAGACAATATTGGTTACCCGCAACGGCTCCATCTGTCCTGATCTAGATTAAAGAACAGGGATTTGCACAGCTGTGTTTCTCAACATCCTTTCTAAAAATTGTCATAGGGAAATTTAAACCCATCACAAGATAAGAAGGGGTCAACAAGAACTTGCGATACATCCACTAGCAATTTCAGATGAACGGGATGTAGCAATTACTTGCCAGTGGCTTTGAACGTAATATACAAGAGAAAAAGAGAGATTAGATGAACAGCGTTAGTGACAGTCATAGTTTTTGGAGGGTTTCTTCTGATGACTTTATTGGATAATAATTAATCTGTATGCTTTGAAATAATTTTTGGTCTGGCAAGTGAGGAATTATGTGTATGATTCAAATCTGTGACTTTAGCCGATTTATTGAGGGTAATCATGTGTAAGAGGAATTTGGAGAAATTTCTTTCTTGGCTTCTCTTTGAAGCTTTGGACTGAAAAGTGAAACTCTGCGAGTGAAACTCTGTTGCTTCTTCCAGTGCCTGACTTTGAATTGTTTTTGCTTTAATTTTTCAAAATGTTACTAAGTCACTGATGTCCATGTGGAAACATTGGCTTATTTTGTCATAGATTTTAGTCACCGGAGCATTTTAAGTTTCTGTTCTCAGCATGCTGTCCTATCTTATGTTAGCTTTTGAAGTAAGAGACCGGGCAGGGCTGCATGTCCTCCGAAGCCCCCAGGCAGGCAGGGGTTGTGTTGTTCTTAATGTTATGAGACCTTGGCCAGCAGGAGTCCCCCCCCCCCCGCTTTTTATGAAATACGAAATATACCCAGCGGCGAGCCAGATCGGGGAAACACACATATTTCATGAGAAGGCAGTAATTCAACAGGGGAAGCCATCAAAACATAAAGGCGGCTGCCAGCTGAGGAGAATTAAGTGAGGATGAGGTTTTTCCAGCAATCCGCCAAGCAATGACTTTCCAAATATTGTATGCATATTGCATCTATGATCCATGCATCAACTCTGGAAGGTAGGTCATTAGTATTTGAGTATCCAAATATCCCCATATTGCAAAAGGAAGGCCATCTGTGAGGAAAGCGATCATGGCCGGCCAAAATTATTTGATAAGTTTATAGCAGGAGGAAGAAGTGAGCCAGGGCCTTCCTAGTTCACAGGGAACTTCCTTTGCTTCTGTTCTTGAATTCCTAGATATTATGTGCCATCAAGTCACCTCTGTCTTACAGAAACCCTCTGAATGAATAGATTTATTCAACTTGTCTCTGACTCAATGTTATATATATATATATATATATTTGGCCAAAGGTAAAATATTTTGGGGCAAGGAAGAAAGCAGTAAGCAGAGAAAGGGTTTAGGAAAGTAAGGGAGAGCAGAGGTGGATCAAAACCAGGAAAGCAAGCAAAGAAGGGACATGCAGTTATGCGGTGCGACTGATGCATCACAGCAGAATGCTTTACACGAAGGGATGCATCTATAGCATCAGAGACAACTGTGTTTTCCTTTCCAATGTTTCCCCCGTGCATGCATTTGTGTATATGAATACATATTCCTAATGGCTGAAGGCCCAAGCGACCTTGCAGGTGCTAGCTCTCGTACGCCTGAATAGGAGACTAACCCGGGGCCCCTGCGCACATCGCCTCAGCGGCCTTGTGGCAATGAACCACTAAGGTCTAATGCTTCTCCTGCAGCCCACTGGTGTTTGAAAGGAGGGTGCCAGACTTTTTCTAAAAGACTAGCTTTGCCTCAGCTTTCTTCTTTTAAAGTACCTTAACTCCCAGTTCCCTTTGCTTGGCCTTCCAGGACCGCTTCCTGCTGAGTGTTTGCATATCCTTGCCTAAATACCCACTCCAGTCCCAAATCCTTTGTGAAATGCTTTTCTCCTCCTTCACTAGGTGTACCCTTCAACTCATATGGCTGAGCCACCGAGAATATTCTGTAGGTGACAGCTTCCATCAGGCACAATATTCATGAATATTCCATACCACCCCCTCAGCCCAGTCAATAAATACAAGGACTCATCACTGCCACCATTTCCACCGCTGGCGCAACCATGGCCGCAAAATCCCTCAGAGCCACGCTGCACAGATCCCAGGTGGGAAGAAAAAGCGGAAGGCATGGAGTCGCTGGCAAAATAGATCAGGAAGCTCCATCTGATGCTGCAGATGAAAACCGCCTCTTGCCGAAGCGCTTCCGCAGCAACGACGCGGCTTTGCTTCTACTCACTTGTCCGGGGCGCAGCAACTGCCCATGACTGGCATGGAGGACATATCCACTGTCACAAGTAATCACACATTCCATGTGCCCCCGACTGCCATGGGTGCAGTTAGGGGCTGCAGCGTGCTGGACCTGCGGCGGCTCACACCTCCCTTGCTCTTCACAGTCCTGCTGGGTGCAGCTGCGGGGAGAGAAGAGAGAGAGAACGAGACCAGCATGTAGTTTCCTGCACACAAGGAGTAAACAAAGGGAGAAAGCACATTGTGCAATGAGAAAACAGAAGAAATTCTCCAGGGAGTGGCTGAAAATATCCAGCTTGAAGAGCGTTAGAAAGAGGTTTTTCCTTTTTCAGAGTCTGATCTACAAACAAGAATGCAAACACGCTGACATGTAACGCATTATATTCTCATTGTTTCATACCTACAGCACAGAAAGGGAGCACCCTCTTATATGAAAAGATCCTTGCTAGAACTCAAAGGATGTGGGAGGAAGAGTTTTATAGGAAGAATAATGTATCTGGTGGTCCTGGAGGAAGGTAGCACTGTTGCATTGCTCAACTGTTGTTGTTGTTATTAGTATTTGTATGGTTTTATATTTGTGGAGATGATGAGTTTTGTTTTTATAGTATGCGTTTTGCATTTTTTCAAAAACAAAAAAAACTCAAAGTATGCATATTCAACACAGGAAATGGGAAACCAGACTCTTACTTATTTTCTGTCAAAGGCAAAAAGATGTTAAAGCAAACTGCCTAAAAAAAACTTGGAAGTACAGACCTACATGCTTTCTTTTTAACTCAAAGTCAAAATGAAAAAAGCTATGCACACACACACACACACGGCAGCTTTCTAACCTGCTCTAGGAAAAAATAGGAGAGTACATAGTTAAAGTCTTTCTTTAAAAAAAACCACCTTTGGCATGATAAGCTTTTTGCTTTCCTGTGCTTTCCATGTGCTAGGAAAGAACTGTGTTTTTCCTTTCCCATTTCCTCAGTTCCTCAGCCCAAAACACAATTTCCTCAAGAGTCAGTGTTGCAAGATGACTCCATTGTTCCAAACACAGCCAAACCACATTAAATACTCTAACCACCCAGGTGCCTGAAAATCCTGCGAGTGCCATTCCCCACAGCAGAACAGCAGTTCCCAAACTCTTTTGGTCACGGAACCTTTCCGAAGACATTTTTTTCCAGAGTCCTAACTCTATTCCTGATTTTTACTAAGCATTCTGAACCCACCATGTTCTTCCTTCTTTCACCCCCTCCTATAGCCAGAGTGCTTTGCGTAACATTCTAGGTTTGGAAATAAAGAGAAAACATTTTAAATATAATGAATGAATAAAGTGATCACTACTACTCTTTTCTATATCATCCTTCACCTTGAGTTACAATTATATGGTAATATCCCAAATGAATCCTTTCAATTATTTCCAGCACTATACAACAGAGTCCTAGGAACCAAATGATGTGACACATTTCTTCGTTGGCTGCTTAGATGCCAACTGGCAATCAAATAATTGGCCTTGTGTGAGGATTAAAATCCATTTTAAATTTGATCTTTGAGATTTTTCTGCGGATCCCGTGAGGCTTTTGCAGCCCCTGGCGTCCCACAGAACAGTTTGGGAACTGCTGCTCAAGAATGTTCACAAATATTTCTGGCTCTTTCAGAAAATGCTCAGCATCTTCAAAGCACAGCCGGTCTCTGCCCGGGCAGCATCTGAGCATCCAAAGAGCCTGAATCTAATCTAATCATGTCATGTTGCATTACCAACCTCACCACTGTCCCTGGGCATGAGAAGGGGAATTGCACCCGGCTCTCACGGCAAGCAGGGTGCCGCGGGGCGTCCCGTTACCTGGGTCTCCGGCAGCTGCGGCCCTCGTGCTCCGGGAGGCAGTTGCTTGGGCCGAAGGGATCCGACGGCAGAGGCGCTCGCAGGGCCACCGCAGAGACGCCCACGGACAGGGAGGAGAAGTAGAACAAGGCGGAGGAGACTTGGCGGGTGGTGCCGTTTTCGGTTAAGTCGATGACCAGCGGATTCTGCTGACACGATAGCTCATATGTCGCTAAAGGTGATTAAGGCATAAAAGGACGTTTGGTCCACAATGAAGCCCCCCGAATCACGGCAGCCCTGCAACAGTCCTCAGGCCAGCTTGGGATTTTTCTAGGGTTCTCTGCACAAAAACATGGGGGGAGTCCCTCGCCAATTGGAGGGCTTGGGGGGAGACCACCCAGCGAGCCTCCCGCTTCCAGCACCCCGTCCAACTCCTCTCCCTTCCCGTCCCGCCCCAAGCCCCATGCCCCTGCACCCCCACTGCCGCCCCCAGTAGGTTGAGGAAGGGCGCGCAATGTCTTTTGGGACAGCAGTGATGCTCCAGGAGGCGGGCAGGAGGAGTAACGCGGATCCTCCTCTGAACCGGATCACAATCTGAGCTGAAGGACAATTTAATGTTCCTTTGAAGCACCTCCACTTTGAGGTGCATTTGAATGAGGCCTGCAAGTTTGGTTTTGGTTTTGGCCTAGGGTACCTTTGCTGGCATTTACATTTTAAATCCCGAGAGCTGGAGTGGTGCAGTGGTTAAGAGCCTGGCCCTGGGACACAGGCGATCCGGGTCTAGCCCCCACTGGGCCATGGAGCCAAAGTCGGACTCTCAGCCCGGCCCACACCCACTGAGAGCAGGAAGAGGAGACGGATATAAGCCGCTCTGAGTCCATTGTAAGGGAAAAGCAGGATATACATCTAGCAAATAAATAAATGAATGTGCATGGAGAACGGGTTCTTAGGAAGCAAAAGCGCGCCAGCTGTCCTCCAGAGGATCCACGAGGCTTTATGGGCTGCTCTCTGAGAAGATGAGACGAGCGCACCTAGCAGGGAGCAGGCCGACGGCCACACTCCTTCCCTGCAACAAGCAGGTTCTGGAGAGCACCTGGTGCCTTCTGCAGCCCGAAAGGCCGTGCCTGGGTCCTCCAAGAAGTGAGCCTGCCTTTTAGTGTGCACGCCAGACACGCTGCAGGGGAAGGGGGCTGGGAGGGTGCAGACCCTCCAGTCCCTCAGCAGACGAATTAACATGAAAAGCATCCTGCAATGGGACGAGGCCCAAAAGCCCTGCCCTGACGGCAGCCGACGGACAGTCCAGGCACCACCACACGACCTGGGCGGGCGTCTGCTGTCGGCTGGGGGGGGCAGACTCAGCGTGTTGCACGCACGAAGCGGTTGGCAGGGGAAGGCTGAGCAGAAAGCCGCTCTGTCACTCACCGAGGAGGTGGCTGTGCCCGCCAACGTCGCCCAGGTGGACGGTCACAGTCGGCCTGGGGTGCTCCCCTGGAGACATGCCGGTAGACGCCAGGAAAACGAAGAGTGCGGTCGCTGCGCTGGGTCTGTCGAAGCTCACCTGGGCTCCAGGAGACAGCAGAGGGTGAGCACGCTGGGGCATGTGCAGAAGGAACAGGTGCATCACGCCGGTAAGCGGACACTCCCCTCCAGCTCGTTCCCCGCCTGGCCTTGCACCACCCTTGGACTTCCCCCCGATGTTTCGTTCGCTTCCTTGGACTGTGCTCCCCAAGGACTCCTGCCATGGCCACCCGGCCTCTGCCACTGCTGGAACTGTGCTCCCCAAGGACTCCTGCCACGGCCACCCGGCCTCTGCCACTGCTGGGACTGTGCTTCCCAAGGACTCCTGCCACGGCCACCCGGCCTCTGCCACTGCTGGCGGCGGTCTGCTTCATCCTCGCTGGTTCAACCCCTGGAAAGGGCAGCGCAAAGGACCACGTCCGGCACCAACTCAACACAGCCATGTGGGTTTTCCAGGCGTGAGACGGCTCCGCTGCTGGGAGACACGGCCCCTCAGAGTGAGGGCTGAGCAGTGCGGGAGAACCCGGGTGGCCAGGACATACTCCAAGCCTCAAGCAGTACTTAGTCCCCTAAAAGGATCCCCCAAGCCCCCAGCCGGGGTCCCCGCTTCTGGTTTCCGAGAGCGCCTTTCTCCCACCGCTTCTCTCCCTGGGTCAGCTCAGCGCAGAGCATTACAGGGCCCCGAACACGACACACCTTGGCCTGGGCCAATGCCTCGAGAAAGCCTCCTTCGCCCGCGTGTCTGTCTGTCCACGTGCTGCCCTTAGCTCAGACACGCAATGGACGGAGCGCCCGCGTTCTTCAGGCCACGTCCGCAAATACGACACGGCAGCCCGAGCCTTCGCGGGGACTTGCTTCATGGGTGGCACCCATGCAGCACATGGTGCAGGAAGCTGTCCCTTCAGCTGGGTGGGGAGGCACCCGCCTTCCAGCACAGAGGGGGCCAACAAGGGGTCCCGGCCCACACACGCAGCCCTTCCTCCCCACCCGCCCCGGCTCCTGCGCATGCCGAGAGCACTTACCTTCAGCCAGACCCTGTCATCCAGGAGCATCTTCTCCCTGTCTGCATCCGGAAGAACTTCGTGGTTTGTGCAAGGAAACCAGGCCATCTGAGGTCCATCTGCAGGCATGTCCTCAGGATAAGGGGTACACACCTGGAAAAGAGGGATTTTTAATATGCAGCGGGGAAGTGACCGAGGTGCCGGGGGGGGGGGGGATAACTGGCAACCATACTGGAAACGAACCTCGGAAAGCCAAGAGCAAACCTCAGCAGAACCCCCTCCCCTCGCTTCTCTACTTAATTTCTAGGCGCAGAAACAGACATTGGGTGGAGGGGGTCTGCAAGTAACCTCATCGGGGCAAGGAACTCCCATCAATGCAGGGGGTCTCACCAATAATTTTGCAGGAATTGCCTTCCTCTCCCTGCCCCGCACTCCACAAGAATGGCCTGGAATGTCTCTGCCGAAGGCATGGGGCGGGATGGAAAGAGCAGCTGTTTCTCCTTCTCCAGAGGTGGGAGCAGCGTAAGGCTTGATTACAAGGAGGGAGGGGCTGTGAACTTGCCGCTGAGCCCATCGCCAACTCCACAGGAGACCCTTTCGAGGGTCTGTCACTGCCCAGCCATGAGTACTGTAGCAACCGGAGGACCAGAGACTTCTAAGACAGGCTCACTGAACATGCAAAACAGGACTGCATTATTGGTGTATCAGCCTGGAAGGGTCTCTCTATGGCCTAGTCCTCACTGGCACGGTATATCTCTGGCTGGACTGTGCCATTTCCAAAAGTGGAAGAGGGCTCACATCACCAGATGCTTCACACAACCACGATCAACCGCCACAAGTGAAAACTGGGACACCAGGAGGAAAACGATGCTGGAACCTGCAGGTCTGGCTTTCTAGTTGCCAGGAAAGATTTGGCAGGGGAATTTTCCAGCAGGTAAGCTACACCTGTAGCCCGAAATGGGAAAGACCATAGACAGACCTGCCACCTCGGTGAGAACCTGGCCAATGCTATTTGCAATCTTGCTTCCTTAGAGCTTTTCACCGGAGTTGGCAGGGACGGGAAAAGTTGAAGAAAAGAAAGCTATTCCTGGTTGCCAAGAAATAAATGCTGTGGCAAAAGGGTAGGAATGGCTGGGACCTGGCCCCTCCACAGCCCTGGTACTTATGGGGAGGGCTGCCAGAATGGTGTGCTCAGGGGGCCAGGATTTCTCCACTGGTGTTGCTGGGAGGAAGGATTTCGTTCCGCCCAGTTCAGAGCAGAATCAGTGAGGAAGACCCCAGAGGTCTGAGTGGGGCCTCCTTCCAAAAACAACACAAGGGGTTTCATACTAGCAGGCAAAGGAGAGACCCTCTCCTCACCCGCACGAAAGGCTCGCCAGTCACCAGGGAAACTGGGCACGCCTTCTCATCCTGGTGGGAGGTGTAGGCCTCCGACGCCCACTGGTCTACGTAGTCCTTGGGGGTATAGAGACCACAATCCACAATGCTGGTGGTTCTCTCGAACGGCTCGCAAATGCCGTCACCTTCATGGACGTAGCAGAGGCTGGGTTCACCTGCGAAGTTAAGGAGAATGAAGCAGCTGGGATGGAGATCATCGAGGGAAGGGGGTCGAAGCACCGCGTTCCGCAGAAGAACAGACAATGTGCCTTCCTCAAAGTCTGCATCTGGCACTGGAATAATTTGGCTACTTTTCTGCATTTTCTGCCCTTTTTCACTTCTTTCTATTAAATGGCATTATAATTTATTACACGGTTGTCCTTTTTCCCTTAAGGGACTTTTTTTCTAGAACCACCATCGTCATCTTATTGATCATTTAGAAGAATTTTAAGCTTGTTTGCTCACCTCTCCTGCCTTAACATTTTTCTTTCTCTTCCAAAAGACAGAAGGAGTTTTTATCATCAACGATGTCTGCCCATTTTTATGAAGTTGCCATGCATTATAAATTAGGCATTTGTTTTACAGATATCACTACCCCTGCCCCTTTCCCCTTCCCTGCCCGGATCTCTTCTGTGCGCTGCCCACTCTTAGATGGCAAGTGTTCCGGAAGGAACATTTCTGTGAAGTGCTTGAGTCACTACTAAACCAGGGGTAGTAACAGCAGCGGTGGTGCAGGGAGTTAGTAGTGCCCTGGGGAGCTTGGGGGAGCCAGGGGGAGCTGGCCCAGGTGTGGCGCATCGGTCCACTCCACCTCCCACGCAGGAACACCAGCCAGACCCACTGGCCACGCAGCCCACTGGCCAAGCAGCCCACTTCCACGCAGCCCACTGGCCACGCAGCCCACCCATCCAGCCATCACCACCTATTACTGAAGCGCTTAAAAGGTGGGAAGCAAAGGGGGATTTTATTCTCGAAGAGGCACAGTTCCCAAATGTTTCCTTGTAGCTCCAGCTTCGCACGCACACAGGGCCTCAGAGGTGCGATATGAATGGATGAATCACCAGAAGGGCAGAGAGCTCATTCCTGGCCAGGACAGAGCCTAGCCACACACTTCCCAAACAAAGTGTTTAGAGCTGCCAAACCTCAATCGCGGGGCTCAGAAGGATATCAGTAAGCAAGGCAAAACAATGGCAAGATCTGAGCGAGGGGACTGCGATTTAAAGGAAAAAAGAGAGCAACGCCCTCGCTCGGCTCACCAGTGCAATGGAATCCCTTTTCTTTCTTGCAAGTTCTAGAACAACCGTCCCCATCTATCAAATTTCCATCATCACATTCCTCAGCAAGGCTCCTAAGAAAGTAAGAAAAATTACAAACCATTTCTCTTGCTATTACAGAGGAAACTCTCAGTAGATAAGCAAAGAAAAACATTTCATCTTCCACTGATTCATAAAGGTCAAGGATAGCAAACAAGGGTTATAAACATAACCAAACCCAAATCAGTTAACTTGCCCCTAAAAGGGCTTTCCTGAATCACTCCAGTACAAAACAAAGATGCTCCGTTTGCTGATTGCCCCCTCTGACTGTATTCATATTAGTTAACTTCCCTTTAGAAAAAGAACAGGACACCATTTTATGGCTGCTAGACAGAACTTAGCCAGCTACAGGAGAAGCTGGGCCGGCTCAAAGCTTGGAAACACACTCTGAGATCGGAGATAGGATCCCAAGTGCAAACCATCTACGCCACGCCTTCGCGGTCTTTCCACACTGTCTGTGGCTCTAGGGACGGAAGACTGACTTCGGAACCAGGGTTTTCTGGACTCCTGGAGGGCAGCAAGGGGAGAAGCGGATTCCGCCACAGTCCGAGACCTCCTAGCAGTGCCTCGGCCTCTCCCCCTGCACACCAGGGCCGCTGCGGGACTCTCAGCCGAGCAGGACGAGAGCAGAAGTGATGCTTAACCTCCTTGCTCCTTCCGCTTTCCACAGGACGCCTGCAAGAGCTCCAAGCTCTGAGGGTGGTGGGCAGCCGTATTGGATTGCACTGCTGTACGGCATTTTGGGAGTGTTCGAAGCACTTCATGCATATTTTTCTAATAGTTACAATGGCTTTTCCAAACGTTTCCGTCAAGTCACCCAGGGGACTTCATGGCCCGGTGGAGAGTAGAACCCGGCTCTCCAACTCTAAGCACTACATCACACTGGTTCTCACATAATTTAATAAAACTTAGTTTTCTATGAACTACTTTTCTTACACCATCTTTAAAAATTAACACCGCATTAAATGGAAGTGTCCCAAATATTTTCCTGTGATCCCAGGTGTGTTTCAATTCTGGACAGCACTTTGGAAGGCAGAAACAGTTTTGCATCAAACGAAGGACTCCATGTTTCTGTCTGTGCGAGGGGCAAACATCAACCTTGCTTCTTCCCTTTCTTAAATCAAAGTTGAAAACAGAGTGAGAAAGGTCAGAATAACGCGAAGAAGACAAGGAAGGCCCTTGCAAGACTTCATCCGTCCTCACCACAGCCTCTGGTCTTGAAGAGTCCCAGAAGGCAGCACCTTGTAAAACACCCTAGCCAGTTCCCATTTACAAAAATGGCCCCAGCCTGGAGCAGGGCAAGCAGAGCGAGAAGGTGCAAGTCGATTTTGAGAAAGCACTGCTGGGCAACTTTAAACCCGGATCAGCCGATAGCCACAGCCCAAGAACCGATGTAAGAGTGAAGTTCTGCAAACATTCAAGCTTGGATAATTCCATCCTTCCTTGGCCTTGAAAACCCATGGCTTAAAAATGTTTGTTTTCCTAACGAAATAGAAGGCAGTAGTGAGCACTGCTTTCTTAAGCATGGCGCCAAACCGCCAGATCCGAGCACCTGCAGACTTTGCTTTCAACTTCTATAAATATTATTGAAACGAGCAAACAGGGTCTAACTGAACCAGGGCCAGCTCTCAGAGCTGGATGGCTAATGGGCGGGGTAAGGACAGCATACGCATGGTTGTAGCTTCGGTTATTGTATCAACTGGTATAAAAGTACCACAAATAAATACAGGTATCCTTTGCTAAACGCAGATTTAGTACAGGTTTTGATTAACATGGCAAAATTAATTGCGACAATCCCTTGATACATGCAGCAGAGTTTTAATTAACGCGCCTTTTTAAATTTGCCTCGAACTACTAATCGGACGACTCTTGATAACTTTTTCAAGAAAAATTGTAAGAATTAATGTAAGTGCATTTAATAAAACATTTGCTTTGCAATCATATTTTGTCCTTAAAACAGTACCACATTATGAATTGTTAATACAGTAATCCATCATGGAAAAATGGTCATTTTCACCACTGATTATTAGTTTCGATCAACACGGTTTTGATATACACGACAATACCGTGTGATCAGCATTTAATAGCGTTATTCAAGGGATACCCATACATCCTTAACCATATAGGATGTCAACTGCTGGAGCAGTTCGATGCACAGGCCATCGCTGCGAGAGAATCCCAAAAGGCGTGCAGGTACTCACGTGCTCACTTTCCCATCTCCGCAATAAGGGGAGCCATGGACATGGAGCAGAGGTGGGGAGGCGTCACCTGCCGCAGCTCCCGCGACAGTCTGCACCTGGTACCGATACAACTGACCTTTCGTCACGTCCCTGGAAAAGGAAACAGAATCAACCCTTGAGGCTGTGCAAGGTGCAAAGCAGCAAAGGGCGCTTTCGGCCACTTCCTACGTCCCAGAAAGGGGCATGGCAGGGACAGACAGTTGGTGGGGGGAAGGCCCAAGCGGGGGCCCAATCTTCCCGGATTCTAAGGATTTCCTCTTGGAAGAGGCTCTTTAATCCCCTTCTTTCCAACACGGAGACTTGCAGCCGAGGTTTGGTCTCAGGAGGCCTCTTCTGCAGTGGACGACTGCAGCTGCCGATGTGCAAGCTAAAGAACAGGTGATCACGGCGTGCAGAGACTGCATCAGGTACGGTGCAGAAGGGCTTTGCCTGGAGCATCTTTCCCATAGTCTCAGGCCCACAGCAGGCAGAAAAAGAAAGGAAATCAAGCTTGGAGTTCCCACCACACGTGCCATCTGGCCCCAAGAGAAGGCAGAAAGAAATGGCTTCTGGGAAATTTTAAAAACTGCTTCAACTCCTGGACGGGCTGTTCTTCCTGGGCTCACCTGCAGACCTGCATCAGTATCACTGTGCCCAAAAGGAGGAAGAGGGTCTCTTCCCACGAGGGAGTCTGCAACCCTTTAGCCGGGAGAAACTGGGACTGCAAACTGGCACCCTCTGAGAGCCTCAGAAGCAGCATGGGGAGTGGCACGAACCAGCGACCCCTGCACAGGCCTCCAGCCCGGCCACATGTAGCCAGGGCTGGTTCCCGAGGGGCTGGAAAGTCAAACAGCCATCCAGAGCACGAGTGCACCGTTTGCAGAAGGCACCAAAAGGAAAGCCATGGGATACTATTTCAAGCAGGCCTACAGTACTTTTCAGATTGCGCAAAGTGGGTCACAAACTTAAGCTCGAGGAAAACTGCTTTCAGTTAAACCCCTTGTGGACCAGCTTTCATCCAACAGATAAGCAATAAACAGGAATATGGAGTAAAATCCACCATAGCAAATCGCAGAAGCAGACTCATCAATGCACCCAAAAAGAGCCAAAAAAATGCTCTTTTGAAAGCATTACAAAAAGCAACGTCTCATGAAGTCTCCCAGGAGCTTGTTCCAGTGTGTAGATGACACATCCACAAAGGCATTGGCTCCAAGTTGTTTATCATCCCTCTAACCTCTTCAACCCCTTCATGGATCACTGCCTTGTCGTGGCGAAGGGGCTTGTGTAGCTAAACGAAGCTATGAGCTACGCCGTGCAGGGGCACCCAAGATGGGCAGGTCATAGCAGAGAGCGCTGACAAAATGTGATCCACTGGAGAAGGAAATGGCAACCCACTCCAGTATCCCTGCCATGAAAGCCCCATGGACAGTACCAAAAGGCAAAAAGATATGACGCCGGAAGATGTCCAATGTGCTACTGGGGAAGAGCGGAGGGCTAGTACTAGTAGCGCCAGGAAGAATGAAGTGACTGGGTCAAAGCCAAAAGGACACTCGGTTGCTGATGTATCTGGTGGTGAAAGGAGAGTCCGATGCTGCAAAGATCTATACTCCAGAGGAACCTGGAATGTAAGATCTATGAATCAAGGCAAGCTGCACGTGGTCAAACAAGAGATGACAAGACTGAACATCGACATCTTAGGAATCAGTGAACTAAAATGGACAGGAATGGGTGAATTTAATTCAGATGACCATCAGGTATACTACTGCGGGCAAGAATCCCTCAGAAGAAATGGAGTAGCCTTCATAAAAGAGTAGGAAAAGCAGTTGTTGTAGTTGTTAGTCACAAAGTCATGTCCAACCCATCGCGACCCCATGGACAACACTCCTCCAGGCCTTCCTGTCCTCCACCATCTCGCAGAGTCCACTCAAGCTCACACCAACTGCTTCCGTGACTCCATCCAGCCACCTCATTCTCTGCCGCCCCCTTCTCCTATTGCCATCTGCTGTTCCCAGCATTAGGCTCTTCTCCAGGGAGTCCTTCCTTCTCATTAGGTGGCCAAAGTATTTGAGTTTCACCTTCAGCATCTGGCCTTCGAAAGAGCAGTCAGGGTCGATCTCCTCTAGGACTGACTGGTTTGATCGCCTTGCGGTCCAAGGGACTCGCAGGAGTCTCCTCCAGCATCGCAGTTCAAAGGCCTCAATTCTTTGGCACTGGACAGGAAGGCCTGGAGGAGTGTTGTCCATGGGGTCGCGATGGGTCGGACACGACTTTGCAACTAGCAACAACCTCTTCAGAGAAGGCCTGGAGCAATGGACCAAGCCCAGGCAGCAAGTGTGTAAAAACAGGGCTGAGCCATTCCCTGGAATGCAGGTCCCGATCTGTGAAGGGCCTGGAACCACACAGAGCTATTTGTACTGCCCGTCCCTTGCAGCCCTCCTGCCCTGTGGTTCAGGGCAGGTCAAAAACATTTAAACTGAATTTATTTAAATCACTGTAGCTAAATCACAAATTTCTTTTAACGCACTAAATGCCCACAAGGTTGCCAGTGCTCCTATTAACTTTCCACTCATTTGCTAGCTCCAAGAACAGGTCTGCATGGAGCAACTTTGCTGAATATTAGCTGCACGTGTCTTTCCTAAAAGAGGAAAGGGTTACATCCTTCGTTTTGGAAAAGAAGCAAAGAATCTAAAGGGAAGATTGCAGGAAGGGGCTTGGAGTATTCCTGTGGGGGCCAGGAACCGTGAGAGGGTCCTCATTACAAATTTGTCCACTCACTTGTCAATAAACTTCCGTCCTGGCTGAGTCACCATAGCTGGGGATCCATCCAGAAACGGGGGGTCTCGCAGAACCCTGTACCTCACGGGTTTGCAGCCGGAACAGAGTGAGCTCTGCGGCATGGAGATCAGCTGGGCGGCATCGATCTCCATCTTCTCATCAAATGTGTAGATCTTTATGCCAGACACCTTCTTGTTCAGGTTCAGTTTCACCGTAAGGGGGATGTCGCAGTACGTGTCCATAGGTCCCAGGTGCAACGAGGCCCCCTGCTCAGTCAGGATCTCAACATCCGACAGGGCCTTGGAGTCCGTGGAGAAGTTGGTAATCCACACCACGAGGGAGTCCGGGTACACCGGGTGCAGGAAGCGCAGCTCCAAGACACAGCCCAGGGGCTGGAGGCAGGGTGTGGTCATGCTCACGTTGAACAGGTTGAATTCAGGGCTCCAGGCCTGCAGACTGGTCCCGCAGGGCTGACTCACGTCCGGAGGCCCTGGAGAGGAGAGGCAGGAGAGAGGGGGAGTCACTTGGATGGGCACAGAGACGCATGCCTCCAGCGCAGGGTCATCCCCCTTTGCAGTGCTTCAGGGATCAATGTGAACCGTCAAGCTAATGGGCTTGACTTTTCCTTAGTGACATCAGCGCATTAGGAAATCTGATTAGCCACACGGATACCAGCAGTGGAGCGTTCACTGCCCTGCCTCAACATCGCGACTCTCAAGGCAAATCCAAGACGGCACTCTTGGCATGAGCTAGTGAGCAAGGGCATCCCTGCACTGGCAAAGAACTAAAGCAAATCCCAAATTAATTAGCTTCCACTGACACGAAGAGAAAAGACGTATGTAGGCACCAGGAATATGTTTGGTTTTACGTAGCTGTAAATCAGCCCTCAAAGAATGCCCAAGGGAAAGAGCAAAAAGTTCAGGATGGATGTGAAGACCCACTGGCAGGTGGCTGTTCCACGTGGGGGACGGGCATTTTGGATCCCTCCCTATTGTGTCATGTCTGAGTGTGTTGATCAATCTTCTAAGCGGGAGCTGGGCTGAAGGCAGACCTCCAAATGTTTTGGACTTCAGCTCCAGAAGTGCCCACCAAGATGGCCAATGGCAAGGGATGATGGGGGTTGCAGTCCAGAACATCTGAAGACCCCCCTTCCGCCTAGCCCTGTCGTGGGGATGTGCCGTAAGCCAGACGCCACACACAGGGTGATGACCATGCCTGCTCATCTCCAGCACCAGAGTTCAGGTGGCTCTTTTCCCCCTTGTGGGAGCGGAAGAAGTGATGGGGGCGACTCAGGCTGGTTTGTGCTCCCCAGATCAAGGCTCCTCTTGGCTTGTCAGACCCAAGCACAAAGCAGTCCTCTCTGGGCTGCCAACGGCTGGCCACACCCCACGGTCTGAGCTCACCCTCTACTAGCGCTGCACACAGCTGCCGCCCTCTTCTCCAGGCTGTGCCGGCAATTCCCCCCCCCCTTCTATCCACCCCCATTAAGCAAACAACACAAAAGAACTAGATGTCACGGAGATCCCACCATGTGACACCCAGGCTATAAAAGCATGAGACTTCGCACTGAATACAAGCTCCAGAACGAGGAAGGCGTGACAATGGTTATTTTCCGTGCAAAGCACGCGAGCATTTCCCTGTGCACGGAACTCTTCTCAGGCAGCATGGAGAAGGCACTGGCGTTCAGCACAACAGGAGAATGGCACCCTGTGTTGCCTGCAGCCTGCTCCAGATCAAGCAGGGCTGAGGACAGGCGAGGGGCTGGGCTCTTCCTCGCACTGTCGAAGGCACTTCATTTTCCTCTGCAGGTGGAATCCCAGTTCGTGGCCAGCAGGCCCTCTGGTGCCAGGGGAAGGGCTGCGACCTTTACCTACGGCTTCCTTTGGTGTCCAGTAGCCAGAAGAATCACAGATCAAAGGGGAGGAGGCCTCGTGGACGTACTGGCTGAAGGTCCCGTCCTCGGCACAATCAGCACAGAGGGTCCCTGACTCTCTAAAAAGAGGGAGAGAAGGAGAATGCACACCATTCTGTCTCAGGTGGGCAGTGAGCACTGTGCGTTTCAACTCCAAATCCCACGATTGCCCAAGCGCTTGTCTCAGCCATAGCGCGGCCCACCAGACAGAGCACGGCCCAAACAAACCATCAGGGTGCCAGTTCCTTCACTCTGCTACTCTCCGTGAGGAAAGGGGAACAAGGTCTCCTGGGACCCACCTCCTCTCCGCCATGTTTGCACACCCGTTCTGGCACTCAGAATGCCAAATGAGTCTCCACGCGGAGCGACACGCCGGCCTGTCACTGCCGGCCAGCGGGCTTTGCACCCACCCCAACTCTTGGCCCATTTGGGTGGGGGCACCTCTAACGGGACACAGCAGATTCTCCACCCGCACTGATCGCCTCTCTCTTGGCCGCAGGCTGCTTCAAAGAAACCAAAACACCTCGAAATTTGACAGCCAGGCAGTGTGGAATTCCAGCTTGCCCAGAATTCAGCCGGGGAGCATTTTGGGAGAAGCATTTCCTACAGCAGGTAACGGGAGAGTGCGGGAAGCGGAGGGAGGAGATGTTTCACCTCCCTGATGCTGCTCTGCATCTCAGCAGTCCTGGATTCAGAGACAGGGAAGCTAAAATACGGCATGCACACGAAGCTCACGCCTGGGATGAGAGGAGGAAGGGGCCCTGGGCACCTGGTCAGCTCAGCAGGGCCACCAACATGCAACTCAGAGCTCCGTGTGACACGCTGGAAGGTCTTCCATGAGAGCTCGATGGACAAGACCACTTGTTTTTCCGTGTGCTACGGAGCATACAAGGCTGGAGGGCCCATACTGTGCCAAGGCAGACTTTCCCTGTTTCTTCATGCTGCCAAGGAGCTTGACCTGGGAACACCTAACGCTGCAGAAATCTGAACCTGCCTGAATAGGTTCACACTAGGAGAGGCAGTGCGGTGCAGTGGTTAGAGCATGGGACTGGGACTCAGGCGATCCGGGTTCAAGTCCCCGCTCGGCCATGCAGCCAACTCTGGGCCAGTCACAGACTCTCAGCCCAACCAACCTCACAGGGTTGTTGCTGTGGGGATAAGATGGAGGAGGAGAATGACGTAAGTTGCCTTGAGCCCTTTGTAGGGAAAAGGCAGGATATAAATCAGGAAATAAATAAATAAATAGGAGGACACTGGGAGGCCCATGCAAACCACCGAGGCTTCCCAGACTAGATGGATATGTGCGAACTGATCAAACGCCTCTAAAGTTATCCTCAAATGGCACCCCTGCATGCGCATTGTTCTTATGTTACTGCATCCCAGTTATGGGAGTATGAAATTTCAACTATGGGAGGCTTTCCAAAACAGCTTCAGTTACTCTCACAGGCAATTCTTCTTCTTGGAAAGGACAAACATTTTTACCCAACACAGATTCCAAAGCTCACTCTCACACTCCGCCTTCATAAACCTACAGGCCTAAAGAGTTCTGTGACTCTTGAGCCAGCTGTAACACAAAACACAAGGCTATTCCTAAAATCACCAAAAAACTGAAAGTAATGTAAGCATAAACCCGATTGTGATACGGGGAGGAGAGCGGGGGCGCTTTTTCTAGCTGCAGCACCAATTCCGGGGTCTTTTTCTGCTTGCAGAATTAAAGACCTACCACAAGAGTATTCTGGCTACTACAGAAGGATCAACGCTGGGGGAGTTCCAACAGTTGTACAAATAAATCTCCACTCTTTCGCTCAGCTCAAACATAAAGCCCCCGGAAGGTTCTGCCAACTGGCGAACATCTGGGAGCAGCTGCCAGCTCATCCTCTTCACCTTCTTTGCCTTCTGGACGTTCTGGGTAGGAGGCCAAGAGCAGCGTTTCCCAAGGTACACACAGGGACGCACCGCACACGCACACGCACGCACGCACGGACACGGACACACACCCAGGCAAGGTCAAAACAAAGTCTACAACATGTACCTGCCATGGTGGGCTGCTCTAAAGAGGAACATTTCTCCACACATGTGTTTTCACGTAAGAAAACCAAATATATGCTGAAAGTCTTGTAGAGGGCAGTCTTGTCTTGCCACACAGCGAGGCAGGCACTCCAAGGAGCAACTCTGGAGCTTCATTCCAGGTAGCAAATTGCTTATTCTCACAGGGATGAGGCCTCGGGTGTGTCCTCTCTCCCTGCCTCTTTCACACACACACACTTTCTCCCTTGCTGTAGCTGTGAGATCTGAGTTTCTGCCCCACTTTAGATTAACCAAAGTTAGCATTACATCCATAATATTAAAATGAGGCTGCTAGTAACTCTGGTTTGCAGAAACAAACCAGCCAGATAAAGCAGCTTAAAGTGGGTTGTGTTTTAAACCAGTTTTGTATTTTTGTATTTATTGGTAATTTATTATGTTCTATTGTATTTCAATGTATCTTATTGTGTTGTAAGCCGCCCCGAGGCTTCGGCAAGGGGCGGCATAGAAATGTAATAATAATAATAATAATAATAATAATAATAATAATAATAATAATACTAACCACAGTCTCTCAACATTACATGTGGCTGCCCTTCCGACTCTACTCTTCCATGATTCTAGGATTCTCTCCTGCTGCTGCAGTCCCTGCTCACACTGCCCCCCCCCCGAAGATCCTACCTTACCTTTCATACAGCACCCCGCTGATGGGGGGCAGCCAGTGGATGGTGAGAGAGTCCTGACTCTGCCCAATGACCATCGGCGGCAGGGGGATCGGGGTGGGCTTCCGCCCCTGCGTCCACTGCTGGTACACCAGGTCCAGGTAGCAGTGCATGCGGGCCACCTGGTTCGGGGTGAACGTGTCCGTGCAGTTGTCATCTGCGGGAGACAAGGAGGCCAGTGGTGAGGGGAGGCGGGAGGCGGGGCGGCTCTGGCCAGGGGGCAGCATCCAGCCCCTGTCACCGCCCCCCGTCGGGCTTGGTGTGCCCCCCAGCGCCCTGCCCCCCCCCCAAGCGCTCTGCTGGGCCCTCGACACACTGCAGCAGATTATGGGTTCGGCCGTTCACCCCGAGGGAAGCGGGACCCTGGGGACGCGCCCTGCTTCAGCTCCACAGCACTGCCGGGCCAGCGTCGGAAACGGGCTGCGCTTCCTGAAGGTTCTTTTCCAGGTTCAAGAAATGGCATGAAATAGCCCCACATGCTCCGAACCACGATGCGCACATTCAGCAACGCGAACGGTACGGGCTGGGTGCTTTGAACAACCCTGAGCCCAGCACCTCCTGCTTCTGCAGGCTGAAGAGCAGGGCAATTCTAGAGAATATCCTGTGCCTCACAGCATGTCTACAGAATCCATGAGATTAACAGGCGGATCCTACGAGCAATGAAATCACGACAGACCCCTGGCTGAAAACCTCCCTCGATCATTTCGATCTGCTTGGAAAAGGCCCCTGTGATCGTCTCGAAAGCACTTCTGCTGGATGGAGACATGCTATGGAGCCCCCCTCTGCATGGATGAACCGACTGCCCCTTTCATGCCTCTCCTCCCATATGCAGCTCCTTCGAGCGCTTCTCATGTCATTCGCTTTCCGTGCTTTGCCACTGTTAGGCTGGCCTGACCGCCCTGATTCGGTCTCACCAGGGGCAAGAGAGGGAGACCTCTGTTCGCAGGTCTCTGCTACCGGCTGGGCGACCCCGATGCCGGCCGAGGGCAAACCTGCTGAACCACAACTGCAAGTCTGCAGAAAAGGGAAACCAGGGAGGCTGCTTAGCTCAGGACTGTGCTAGCTATCTCTATCTGATTTGCCAAAGAAGAGCCAGTTTCAACCACGCATTGCTTTGGGCTCTGAAACTGACCCACCTTTCCCCTTTGCTGTACATGCTCCTGAATCCCCAATAGTTTCTTGACCTTGTTTCCAGCAGAATTCAGATGGTGGGCTTTGTGGGTGGAAGGAGCAGGCTCACAGGGGCTGCGCCACCTGGTGGGTCCTGCCAAGTCCAGCGGCGGGCGGGCGGCACGCACTGTGCTGAGCAAAGCTGGCAACCGAGTGGCGGGAGGGTTGCCAAGAAGCCTGGCACGAAACAGCCCAAAGGGTTTCGCGGCTAGTCATTCCAAGGGGCCAAGTGCCCTCGGGGACTGGAAGGGGGCTTGCGTTACGCTTGTGGGTGGCAGCCAGCACCAGCTGGCTTGGCTACACCAGGCCCTGCATTCATGGCTAGGATTCCTGCTGGCACCAGGCTGCCACCGCTTCATGCAGCCCTGGAAACGGAATCTTTCTGCTAACATCCTTCCTGCAATAAATGCTCCCAGACCCAGAGAGAACGAAAATTCCCGACTCCTGCCATTCTGCTTCTCTGTCAAAAGATGGCACTCTTTCAGCAATGCTTAATCACACTCCCTGGAGCGAGATTCCTCCCAGATGTCTGGTCAGCGACGATGCTTTACCCAGTGCCGGACAGAAAGACACGAGGCAGGGCAGGGCAGAAGGAGGCGCAGAGCATAATCAGTGTGTGCAACTTTCCAAAATAAAGGGATGCAGTAAAGGCAGGGCACGATAAGGAGACGTCCTGTGCTGGCAAGGGGCTACCAAACCTGGAGCAGAGGCAGGTGGTGTCCGTGCCAGAAATTATGGCAGTTGACACCTAAAACGCCCGCAGAGCTGCTCTGTGCCTTCCCCTCAGCAATTCGTGTCCAGAGGGACCTTCCTCTAATTTCCTTCCGATCTCCCCTTAAAACCTATTTTTCCTTGAAGCTTCAATCTTGACCCACCTCTGCTAAGGATTCAGCACTTCCTCCTATAGTTCCTATAGGAGGAACGTCTCCTATACTTCCTCCTACTCTTCCTCCTCCTATAGTTCCTATAGTTCAAGCTGCTGTCAAAGGCAGAAGAGGATGATGTCCACCTGTTCCTCTCAGTGGCTTCTCTGGATGCTGCAACAGGACACCTTAAAAGCTCCAGAATGGAATTTACTCAGTGCTGGCTGGAGGCCCGAACCAAGACTGACCCATCTGTCCCGGGGAACTGGTTCCCGTTTCTCGCTGAGCCTCCCTCGGCCTTCTGAGCTGTGACCCCTTTGCGCAAGGGAGCTCACAATTTCTGGGCGCAGGCCTTGGTGACCCCAGGTCTACCAAAACCTCCCTGAATGTGATGTCAAAGCAATTGCTCTGGTTAAAATCCATTTGCTCCACACCTCTTCACTCCCCAGAGTATCTAACCAGGACCTGGCCTTTAGGAGATCTCCTGCGCAGGCTAAAATCTTTAAGGAGCTTAACACAACTCAGCTGATTATTCCAGAATAAAGTAGCTTGAAAAATGAGTGACTTATTAAGACAGTAGGCCAGACTAGAACTGCCGTTTTCCGTTTCTTTTTATTGGCTCTGCTCCCAGGATGTGATGCACATAATTCATACTTTTCCCATATAGGTCAGGGAAAAGTATGAAAAGGCTCCAGCGACAAACTTTCAATATGTCTAACTACCACTAGGGGCATGGAAGCAGCACCGGTAAAAGTGGGCAGCAAACCACTGAAAGCTGGAAGAGGAGAATGAAGGAAGCTGCTTCGCGTCCCTTAAAAAAGAAAACGGTGGGGTATAAATCTTATAAATAAACCCAGATAAAATCCGACTGAGTCGTAGGAAGAACACCCTGTTAGGGCTCTATAACAATGGGACCAATGAGCTATGGAAGTGGTGGACTCTCCCACGTGGAAGGCATCCGAGAGGCACTTAGGCAGACACCCGTCAGGAGCGCCTTAACTTGGAATCTGGCACTGAGCAAGCCCTTGGACGCAGCGGACCCCTTCAAAGTCTACCATTCTCTGATATATTTATTATGAATGACCAAGAACCCTCCAAGATAAGACCCTTTCCCCAAACGGGCTTGCGAAGGCGTTGCAATCTGCCCCAGAGGGCCTCCTCCATGTCTTCCTGCCAGTGGAAGTCTGCCAGGTAACCACAAAGGGGGCTGGGAAAAGCTTTTCCTGGGCCATTCCACCCTGCTGCATCCCCTCTAAGGCATCCAGCCAAAGCATTTCTGCAGCAGCGCTGACCTCCAATCATCCTCCTGCACTTGCTCTGCAGAAAACACAAAGCAGGGGATGCGCGAGATTTAGTGAGTGTAATCTTCAGAGATGATGGAGCACTGCAGGCCCTGCTAGAAAGACATCAGAAACGGGAAGGGCAGATAATTTGCCATACTGAATTCAGTGACAGGCACGTGTTTCTCCAGCTGAGCTTTTCTGCCAAGTATGGTGATCAAGATTTCCAGTAAAAGTAACCCCAAATGAGCAAACCAATTATTTGATCCTTTACAACAGAAAGGGTATCAGAATTCATGCAATCTGAAAATAGACACAAGATGTTGGTATGATTTGCCCTCTGGTTATTCATGTTCCACTACACTGCCCCAACATTTCTTCAACACGCTCACCACTGAAATTATTAGGAGATGCTGTCAGAATCTTATGGAACTGAAAGCGGAATCTTCCAGCATCCCAGGGCTCATATATGCCTTTGGGGGCCCTGGCTTCCACCCCTCAAATAGCTGTTCCATTTATTACCTGTGTAGCTCATATAATTGTTGAAGGGGGTTCCAGAGAAGTAGGTTTGGCCACAGGTGTCACTGACAGGCTCTGGATCCTGGCAGAGTTTGCTTTTGGGAGTAGGTGCCGTGTCAGCACAAAGGTCTCCAGTCTCCATGGAGGGGGTTGTCTCCCTGCAGGGGTCATCACAGGAGTCCCGCTCGTCCACTCCTTTGAAGACGTGGTAGAGCCCCAGGATGTGTCCTACTTCATGGATCATGGTGTTTGTATGTCCTGGCATGCCGTAGTAAGCGGGGTTGAGGACGACGCCACCTGAGAAGGGCAAGTGAACTCAGCGTCACTCAGAGAGAGCGACAGGAGCAAGAAGTCTGGATTCTGAGTGGGAACACATGCAAGTGCTTGCAAAGAGGACTTATTTTTTCTTTTGGTCACTGATTTATTTAATTTTCACCATTCCACTGGGCAATGAGGAAGCTTTCCAGACTAGGCAAATTCCATGCCTCATCACGAGAGGACTGGATCGGCTGTTGGGAAGGAAGGTTCTCTTTCCAGCAGAAATATCCATGCGCAGTCACCCCGGGCAGATTAGCAGGTGGGAATGGTTGCCCACCCAGCCTTCAGAAGTCCAACCCATTCAAGCCAACCCATTTGCTCAAGTCTTCCTTGGGTGCCAATGAGGCACCTGAGAAGTCCCCTATTTCAAGCAGCAGGCTAGGACCCTTCCTGACAACAGCTTAAGAGCACTGAGGCCAGGCAAGGTTTCCCATTCATGACGAGGTCCATAGGCAGCGAAAGATCCAGGTGGAAGTCCTTCCCAGTCGACAGACTGGCTGGAGGCTGCCTCTGGGAAAACCAGTGGAGTCAACGGCAAGCAACAAGATGGCACACACCTGCGCATACTGCGATTTTCTGTGAAGACCATGAAGGCAGGTCTGCTTGGGAAGAGATGGCGAGGCAGGAAGGGCAGTTTGCCCCCTGCCTCCAGACAGGAAATGTGTGGGGCAAAGTGTCCCCCTAAACCTCAGAAAGGCATTTGTTCCTGCAGGAGGGAGAGGTGTCCTTGCAGCACAATTTACAGACCACGTGGACCAAGGGGCCGGCAGGAGGGAGCAGGGAAGTATGAACCTCCATGCCAAAAGCTTGTGTGCAGCCCTGAAAAGCAAAATCGCTTGAACGATTTAATATCTGATGCTTCAAAGGTTGTTTTGGGACACTTACATTTCACCACCATCAGCATTTAAATAGACTTGCACAACGGTCCTTGCATCCAAGATTAATTTGTCCTGCTACTATTGTTGGGAAGTTTGTCAACTGGCCAATCAAATATTATCAGTTGCCAATTATTCTACTGTCATCAAATACTATCAAAGATCCCACAAGAGCGGGGATGTCTTTTTAATGCTCCTCTCGTCCTATTTGATTCTATCCCTGAGGCAAGAGTTGGGGGTCGGGTGAGGAGATATACCAAAACTGTTCTGCCTCTTGATTGCAATAGTTTAACTTGTCACTTCAGTAACTTCGGTTTGCTGTTTAGCTCTTTTAAGAGTTCTGATAAATCAAGGTATAAAATGATCTATTTTTAATGGCTTTGTTTTTATGTTTTAAACATGATTCTGTAAATCTTTCTAAAATGTATTTTGTTAGTTGCCTTAAGCACCATTTTTGGCAGAAGGGCAAGGTAATTTAAGACATACGTAACAACGAGTTTCTTCCACATGCTTAAAGGTGCTGTAAAAAGGGGGACATGCTTACAGCTCCATTGCATGGGCTGAAGCAGTTATGTCACAAAATGTTTGTTATACGGGTAAAGAGCTGCAAGAAAAGAGGCTGGAGGCAGTCCCTCTGCAAAGCGGTCGCTCTGGAAAGCACCACTATTTGACAATGTCTGACCTTGTTCGAGTAAATACCTCCTGGCAGCCCAAACAAGCAGCTACGGTTCTCTTCAAGGACAAGATTTTCACTTTACATGATGAGATGGCATGCGAGATACTGGGACTTTCTTAGCCAACAAGCAAAAGTCTGAACAAAAAAAAAGGAAACCGAGCTTAACTCTCCAGCCAAACCCCAGTCTGAGACTGGAGGCTGGTTTGCTGAAAGCAAAGGAGGGGAATGCGGGTGAGCGAAGAAAGAAAAAGCCTTGCTAATAGCTCAGTTAATGGGATGTTAGAGGGCAGCCATAATCCCGCTGTGTCAACCACTAACAGCAAACAGCAAAGTGAGCCTGAAGGCACAAGGGCCCTCACAGCCTACTATTCCCACCTTCAAGGAGAAACATAAAACCCTTTCCACTGGAGAAAATATGAGAAAGCCGCTGCTGAGAAGTTTCTTGGCAACGCTGCACTCAATCCCCTCTCTCTGTAAGACTGCTAGCTTGCTTTCAACCCAGAAAAACACAGAAAACTGCGTGTGATGGGGGGAAAGGTTGGCTGTTATCTACAACCCCTCTTCCCTTGAGGAGGTTTCGGCAAAAAGTTTGAAGCCAAAGGCTGGACCAAGCCAACATCTCTGCAACAGTGAAGCAGTGGTGTTAAAAGCTTCTGGTACATGCAAAAGCCCCCACCTACAAGACCCCTCCCCTTCCTCCAGCTTCTCTTACAGCCTCACACGATCCAGTTGCCCTTTACCTGTGGGATTGACGGAATCGACTTTCATTCATACCTTTTAAGTGATCAGTAAGTGACTTCACAAAGGCCAGGGCCTTCACATCATATGAAAGTTAAGAGGTGTGAATTCACAAAGGCCCTTTTTTTCCTGAGATCAAAACCTGAGCTAATAATCCTGACTTCTCAAAGGCCATGGTTTGGCATTGCTTCAGGAACAGAGAATTTACCACACAGGAATTTCGGCCTTCATAAAAAGCTCAGCAGGCTACAAATGCTTAAGCAAACTCCTGAATGCACAAGATGTGTGCGTACCTTGGAGTGTCTGGATCAGCCAACAAACCTGAAAGGTCAGTTCTGACTGTCGCAACAAATACCTGACATTGTGACCCTGGAATCATACTCTTTACTCATAAATTAAGTTATCCAAAGCTGGGATAACTTGCCAGGGCAGTGGTGGGAGAAGAGAGAGCTTAGGGGAAACTGAAGCTACTTGGACTTTCTGCTAACCACCTACTGAGGTAGCAACACAGAGGTGTGGCACATGGACCTAGTAGAGCAGTCTAAAGTAGAGGTGGGAAGAAGGCAGATCTCCAGAAGTTCTGGACTTCGATTTCCAATGTTGCTGACCATGAGTCATGCTGGGCAGACTTCTAGGAGCTGCAGGCTAAAGCATCTGGAAGTCCCCCCAGATCCTGTCTGGCCAGACGGTGGCCAGGGGCGGTATTCCGTCACGTATCGTGGTCCCAAGCCAAGTGGGCTTTACAGATCACAACCAGCACCTCAAACAGGGCTCCGAAGCGTACAGGAAGCCAGGGCCAGTGGGCCAGAATTGGGGTTCTGTGGTCAGACTGTTTGACCTCTGTTATCAGTCCAGATGCCCCATTTTGTCCAAGCTGGAGCTTCCAAAGAGTCTTCAAGGGCAGCCCCATGTAGAGTGTGCTGCAGGAATCTCATTTAAAGATTGCCAGAGCACAGACCACTGATAGCAGACTATCTCTGTCCAGACAGGGGTGCAGCTGAGCCACCAGCCAAAGCTGGGAAAAGGGGCTCCAAGTGACACAGATGGGTCAGGAAGCACCCCTTGGCTATGAGCCCCTTCAAGGGGAGTGCAACTCCAACTGGAAAAGTCTGAATTCCCTCCATCTGGAGAGAAGAACCACCCACTAACAGCATCGGAGTCTTGCCTGGAGCGAGCTTCAGTTTGCCAGCCCTCGTCCAGTCCATTCTCAGGTGCCACTTTAGCACATTCACAGCCTCACCTGCTGAAGACGAGAAGGAGAGACAGAGCTGCGTGTCGCCGGCATACTGATGACAACGCACTGCAAAACGCCGGGTGACCTCCCTCAGCCAATTCGTGCAGGTGCTCAATAAGAAGAGGGACAAGACCAACCCTGGAGGATCCAAGGGGCAGAGCAGTGTCCCCCAAGCACCACCGCCTGCAGCCCGTGATCCAAGTAAGAGCAGAGCTGAAGCAGCGTCGTGTCTCTCGCATCCGACTCAGGCAGCCACTCCAGAAGAACACCATGGCTGATGGTACCGAAAGCTCCCGAGAGGCCCAGGAGGACCAACGGGGCCGCACTCCCCACCTCTCCCAGCACAGTCATCATACGGGGCGATCAAGGCTGCTTCTGTGCCAAAACCAGGCCTGAGCCCCAACTGAAATGCACCCAAGAATGCCTGGAGATGGTTGGCCACCACCCGCCCAAGAGCCTCGCCCTGGAAGGGGAAGTTTGCCGGTGCCCTAGAACTGCTGCATTCTTCTGGGTTTCTTTAGGAGTGGTCTCACCACCCCTTGCTTCAGCTGGCCAGGGACCACTCCGTCTCAGAGAAAAGTATTCATCACCTCCCCAGCAAACCGTCCCCTCCCAGCTGGCTTTTATTAGCCAAGCAGTGCAAGGATCCAGTATGGACATGACGGCACAAACCTGTCCGAGGAGCTTGCTGACATCCTTGAGCCGCATCAACCAGAACTCATCCAGAACTACTGCGCCAGGCTGTGCTCTGGATATCTCACCTGATTCCACTGCTCTAACACTACTCCTGGCAGAGACAAGAGAGTTTGTCCAGGAAGTGTCTAGCAAACAGACTGCACTGGCCCTCAGATGGCTTCTCCAAAGCAGAAAAGAGCATTCCTTCTGTCATAAATGTGGACTTCTACGTATAATGGACAAGAATGATGCTCAGTCTACCTGGAACCTGCAGCATGATAGGCCTGCTGGAGGAGGTGTCCCCAGGAGGCAAGCTTACCCAAGTGGCTGAGGGCATCCTTGTCCCAGGGCCAGGTGCCAGCACCGGCCAGCTCCTCCTGCACGGAGCTGGCGAAGTAGACGTTGAGGAAGTGGGTACTGTTCAGCTGAAGCGCCTCCTTCAGCTCCTTCACACTCATGTATGCCCTGCAGGGTGGCGAGAGGGAAAATGGTGACACACACACAATACAAAACAGAATGGAAACAGGTGAAAACGGAATGCAGCGTCCATGCGGGCCACCTCTGATGCTCACAGTTCAGTTGCAGAGCATCTACCTTCACCGAGGACCGGGACCACTAGGAAAGGACCAGTCGATCAAAGGGCTGAGTTGGGTTGCTACGAAGCATTTTACAAGATTGCCCTTGATGAAGGAGGCACCGCCTGTGACACCGGTTGCGCTTAAACAATGACCTGGGCACCACTGAGAAATTGTGCCTTTGGCCTCTTCCTTCACTTCTGTTTCATATACAGCAGCTTCATACAAGGAGCATTTCAGACTCCTGTGAGACACTACAAAACTACAACCCTTCAGAAAAGAGGGCCATTATTCTGGATGCTGCACTTCATGGAGCTGATGATACAAACAGGCACAGTTCGGAAACCAAGAATAAGGGAGCAGAAGTGTCCTGGATCAGAGCTGAGCACCTCTCGCAGATACTAGTCCTCCTTTGTCAATACCACACAACTTGGTTGTTACCCTCCAACCTCCAAAGCACCCAGCTTGCACCAAAGGCCACAGCCAGCGGCTCCTATTTCCATTTCTGGAGCAAAAGGGGAGGCTTGGCCAGTCCCCGGTGGGCTGCATTCAAAGCAGTGGCCCTTCATCTACTTCCATTTGCTTTGCACGAGGGGGACAACTCGTAGGCTGGAAAGGGGGTGAGGGCTGCCCCACTGCTGACCCTGCAGCACTGAAGACGCTGCCCGACCTCCACACACACGAAGAGAGCAAGGCCACTTCGTTAGCTGGCGTGGAGGAAAAGCGGGGGGAATCTCAGCCCGAGAGTCTCTTCCTTCTTTCAGCCGAAAGCTGAGCTGAAGAAGAAAGCGGGTCTTCAAAAACCCATCTCTCTTTCGAGCCTGGCTTTGCAGGCCTGTTGACACCTCAGCCTGGCTTCCCTCAACTCGATTACTGCACCCCTGGCAGCTGCAGTGAGAGGTGAGAATCGGGACCTCTGCAACCCCCTGTGTTTTAAAGCCACACAAAAGTTTCATCCATGGGGTGAGGTCTGTGATGGTCACAAATGCAAGGATTCTGCTTTCCAGTGATGGAGGTACCTGCACAAACAGCCCCTGAGTAAGAGAATAAAACGGGAAATGTACTATCAAGGCATACTTTTAGACAGACAAGCAAAGCACGCTCCCCAAAAAGAAAAAGACTTTCGAAGAGACACTCATTCAACCCCCCAGAGCTATTCAGTGGACTCGAATCCTAAAATAAACTCAGTTTCCAGATCATGTTCATCTAGGAAAACCACTCCAAAGCCGTGGAGTCATCCACATTCCATGGACTGAAGGCAATCGTGTTTGTAGGATATTCCTGCCGTCTCTCTAGAGGAGCATTTTTCCCCACTGACGCCTGCAGGTCCCCTGACATTAGCACAGTGTCTCTCTTCCCTTAACTTCATTATAAACCTCCCCATTTTCCTTCCCACTTACTTGAACCAAGCAAATTTGGGCTGGATGCGAGGAAGGGGAGACACTGTCCTTCAGCTGCAGACATCCAATCCCGAATGCCCCGCAAGAGAACAAACAACATGTAACAGAGCAAGTCAAGCCTGGAATAGACAACTCCCCGGGGCTCCTTCTCCGGCTGGTGTCTCCAGTGGAGTTTCCATCCGTCATAAACAAGTATCGGTGCCAAGTGACGCATGACTATCTGCCTCAGTCATTCGCATCCCTCAGGCCTCCTGGCCAAGCTGTCTCAGCCTACCTCGACCTGGGCCCCCGGAGGACCGGACAGCCGACGGGGGCCACGCTAAGGGACCCCCACACCTCAAGCCATCGTGCTGAGGAGCATCCGACGAAGGGGGAACGGGCCTCTCGGCGACTACCCTTCCAGCTACACATTCAAGAGGACACAAGTGCGAAGTACATCACACACCGCCAAGGGACACAGTTGTAGGGAGGATAAGATATCCTGATGTCCGTGTGTTGGTCCTATTTCAAAAGTTGTGCTTGTGGTATGCATAGTCCTTGTTGCAAACTGCATTGGGCCACAGTTGTTTGCAGTCAGAATTACCAGTTTCTTCTGAGAGATGAGATCCCTGTAGTTAGCCATGAAGTTCTGAATGAAGGGTAAAGCCAACATAATGCAGTGACTGCCTTAACAGAACTGAATTAATTGATGTCTCTCCCATTCACAGCTTCCTACTCAGAGGGACTATTACCACAGAAGGCGTTTTTCCTCAATACTTTAATATTGAGAATGATGGGGCAGGTTGCTAGGAGTCTACTTACCGGTCACAATATTTTCTTCGACGTCCAACTCAGTTTGCCCACTGATGTGGTGAGCTAGGGGACTGGCATATTTTCATAAGTGACCATGTTAAAAAGGGCCCACCCATTGAGCGGCATTCCCAAATGGATGGAATCCATCCTACCCCCAACCCTAACCCTGCCCTCCCACCAAGCCCCCCAGCAATCACTTGACCAGGAATGGGAACAACTGACCATCCTGTGTGGGGGAAGCAAGGCAGTTCTCCAGGGCAAGTGGGCCCACCTTCAGCCAGAGCAGAGGTGGTCTGAGGAGGCTGATGTGAGGAATGCCATGCCCAAATGCTGAGGAAGCCCGTGAGGCAGAGGAGAAGGCCGGGACAGCAAGCGCAGGGCCCAAAAGCCAGAAGCAGCCATCTGGGGCACAAGAGAAAGCGACCCTCTGGGCTCCTCGGGGGAAAGCACAGCTGGCGGAGTTCTAGTCATGTCAAGGCAAAACACAGAGCTGTGCACTGGAGAAGCTCCTCCCGTGGGCCCCGTCCAGCCTCCCTCATCTGGACGCCCAGTCTCGTCCCGCATTCCCCCCACTTTTCTCAGCCCTGCCCTTCCACCACCCCGTTCCCTCTGCTCTTCTGCTCTTCTTGCCGATCAGCCGAGCAGCGGCGGGAGATCAACACTCAGCTGATCCCCAGGAAACCGCTGAGAACTGGGGCTGCGCAGCGGCTCGGACGGAGCTGCTCAGCTACACTCCAAGCTTGTTTTGGGGTTGAACGGAGGGTTCCCCATAATGAAACTGGGCTCTTAGCCTGCTAAGGGCTACCGTCTCCTGTAATGCGGGGCAGGAGGCAGAGCAGGGCAGGGGTACTTTCGTATACATTACCTCTATATTATTCTACAGGGAATATATTCTATACATCCTTTGGCTCATGTCAACATGCAACCTATGGGTGCATTGCTGGAACAAGGAAAAGAAGGCACACTTTCTAAGGCTAACTGATCCACTGGTAATATCCTGACATTCAATATTTGCCTACAGTTCACTTGTTTGCTGTATTTGGCATTGCCTGCAGCTTGCTTGCACTTGCTCAGAGGTGACGGTGTCGTGCATAAATGGAATGAAAAAGACTGAGGCAAAGGAAGCCAGATGCCTCTAGAAAATATAGTGGGAAAATAATGGAACTGGGTTGACTGTTGTCAGAAATTTAAAATTTAAGTCCTCCTCTCAGAACCCAAAACTCTGTTCAGAATTCCTGAATGGGAGGAGAACAGGCCAGGCAGCTTTCTTTTCTGCCAGCTGCATCATAGCCCACTTCATTTCAGCTTCCATTCCTTGGGAACGGCAGGCCACCCCACTTTAAATGCACATTAAAAAAAAAAAAAAGGTTTTTGCTCTTAGTGTTTTCTCAGAGGGGGCCCTGGCCAAGAACATACATGACATGGTGGGCATGTCGTGAGTGGAGCTGGCTGGAGCCGGGGGTCAGACTAGATGGCCCGGGGTCAGACTAGATTTCTATGTTTCTATGACATCCTTTGTATGCAGCTCAGCCCCACGTTCCCCATGGAAAGGATCCGCGTGCCAGTCACGTGAAGGACCAAAGAGGCCGGGCAACCACTTTTGCTCAGAGTAAACCATCTTGGTTCTGTTGGACAAACCCCTCCAGGGCACTTAAGGTTCGGTCCATGAACACGCCTGGAGCGGCCCTCCAGCTGGCTTCTCCCTGGCTGTTCAGGCCCTGAAGGGGAGGATGGTGGGAGCCTTCAGGATCCAAGGCCCATCCCTGATTTCCCCCAGAAGAGCACCCAGTGAGGATCTTGGACAAAAAGGCATGGCAGTGTCTGGAGAAAAGCACGGGCACCTGAGGGAGCTGAGCTGGTCCCAGCTGATTTTTACTTCGGGGACCCCAAAGGACTGGGCTATGGCAGAACGTCTCACACTTCAGAAACCTGGCAAAGGAACTCACTTTCACCAGGACAGTGTTGCTTTAGCCAAGAGCCAGTTTTCAGCAAGCCAGCGGGCTGAAGGTTCCCCTCCACGGTGTGCTTATAAAGTCTCACGGTGCCCTGACCAAGGCCTGGGCATGTGCCATGTGGAAACATGAAGCGTGCTGACCCCTCCGGGAAGGAACTGCTGAGGATAAAACAGCCTATGATTGCACGCATATTCCACTGGAATTCGGATACTTTCCCCCCCAGTGGGCAGGCTAGAAGATTGGCTCAGCCCTCCGACTGAGCCTCACGAGTAGCTGGAAAATACTCAAGAGCCAGCAAAGCTCAGAACTATCTGTACAAGTAATCAGAGATGCTGGCTGGCTTTTCGAATCCCTCGTGGGCTCCCAGTCTGAAAGGCAAACTCCTTCCCATCACGCCGTGCACTGGGGACGACATCATTTCCTGAGCCCAGCCGAGCATGCCAAGATGTCGCGGGGCGGGGGGTGGGGGCGCTGGCGGGCGCCGGCGAGGACTGACCTCCTTCGCAGCGGGCAGGCAGGTGTTTCTGTGCCCATGAGAGGAATTCCACCAGATGAGCAAAGACCAATCGGCCCGGAGCATCTGTCATAGCGAAGCAGAGTTTGGGGTCGGGGTGAATGTCCTTTCGGGGTCCGTTGGGGCTTGGCACCTCTGACTGCAGAGTGATTGAAACCCCTCCCGTTTCTTGAATCCTACAGCCCCACGGTCATGTTGCTTAGGACTTCACCGACCCAGAGCGGATGGC